TGTAGGGATTGATGCTTGTAATCTAGCTGCAGTCCAGAAAGATCTATTAAAGAATTTTTTATGTTGAATTGAACCTAGATGAGTAGGTGACAAGGATTGTGTTTTATATTGTGCAATAGCTACTTCCATGAGTTGTTCTACAAGGAAATTTTTTCAGCTTTCCATTTGGTCTAGGGTAGGAATGGGTTTAGTGTGAAAAGGTGCTTATAAACTGCTGGTAACATTGGCTAGACAAAGGAGTATAATCATCAGTTCAGGTGGTTAAACAATGTAAGGCCATGATTCAGGAAAACGTCCCTATTCAGGAGAGCATCTTAGCATGTGCTTCAGTCCCAGTGAAGTCAATAGGCTAATGAATGAGGGTAAGTAAAATTTGAAGGCATCCTGAATTTGTATCTGATTAGGAAGTTGATAGGCTCAGGAGCATGTCTGTATGACATTAGTACTATTTTCAATATTGAAGTAAAATACGTGTTGACCCCTGGAGACTATTTAGAGTTGAGGAATGAAATGCTGTGTTGTTTCCATCCCTAGTTACATATGATATGCTCTTAGTGTTGTTGGGTGACTACCAAAGGTCATTACTAAAGCTGTTTTCTCCTGCTTACAGGCATGGGTTGTGTAAGCTGTGGAATGGTTTGGATGATGCCACTATAACAGTGGTACTAGGCTGACACAATAGGGCAGAAAAATCTGGGGCAACATTCTTTTTAAAGGGTTTGACTCTGTTCATTAGACACATGGGCTGTTTTAACTAATACTTCAGTGGTTGTTATTTCCTGGTCTGTGGTGAGTGGTTATCTAGGTACATTATTGCATATTTAGACCTGTATAAATAAAATTTTTACTAATTTAGGGTTAGATCCAAAGCATTTTAAAGGATCCCTTTGAATACAGTAAGCTTTGAATGAAGTCCTTTAGGATCATGCGCAAAGTGCCTATTAAGCAGATGCTTGGCACTCAAGTTGTTTTCTAACTTCTCAAAACTCACCCGTCAGCTGTAACCACAGGAATCTTATAATTGTCTTACTGTTAGTTTAGTTTATATTGCAGATTGTTTTAACTAGATGTTATGTCAACTGTAAACCCTTTAGAATTGTACCTTTTTAATCAAATGATGCTATTATAAGTCTCTGAGCTTCTGCCAGGTTTGAATGGCATCAAAATTCAAGTGGCGTTTAAACAATTTTTAGGCTCTCACTTGTCTTGTATTTGCTTTCTGTGCACTTATCTTTACTCTGAATCTAGGTTTACAGTTTTCCATTGGGTTGTGAGCTGTGCTCATTGCATGTAGCAACTTTAAAGGTCTCTGTGTGACTTGGAAGCTTATAAATAATTGAAATTGTTGGTTTAGCTTAGAAGTGCCATGTCAGTCTCATGGTATTTCTGAAACACAAAGGACTGTAATTTAGTTGAAGTTGCTTTTCTTTTATTGCAATAACTAAAATGTAAATCTAGCTTTCTAAATATAAAAGCTGACTTTGATATAGGTGATTTCAGTGTTTTAAATGCACCTACTCTATTTTGAGCACTCAGAACGTGAAATTTTATGATGATGGGTGGTTCATAATTCCATTCATTTATTTTATTTGTATAGAGCCCCAGTCATACTGCCTATGAGGAAGATCCATAGCTGGCATATATTGTCATAACTCCACTGACCTCAATTGACTTATAATAACTTTCACCAACTCAGTATCTGGCTTGGCAACTAGAGTGTACTGCTGACTAAAGTTCCTTTTAAAACCAGATCCTGCAATAGATAAGTTAAGGAAATACCAGGAAGAGGCAGTGGGAAAATATATAAGCCTGTGACCATGAGTTATATAAAGAACAACTAATATACCATAAAAATTTACAAGAGGCAGAAATCATATTCACTGTCATAATTTTTGTTTTTGTTACTGAGATTAAATAGTTTTTATTTGATTTAACTGGTTTTCTTATCAAGGCAAGATATCAAGTATTTCTATTTATAATAGGCTAAATCTAAGGTTTAGACTAAAGTTAACCTTTTGCAGTAAGAAAATATTTAACTGTAATAAAATTTTCTCTGTAAAATGTTTATAGAATGTTTTGAAGACTTAAAGTACTATAAGTGAATATTTATTACAGATTTGATTCAAAGATTATTTTAAAGTGTTATCCTAATCAGTCTAGTAAGAATTTAACTTGAAAAAAAATTTTTTTTAATTGTCCAGCACAGACACACACACATCAGTCATGAATTCTGAACCTGTAAACAGACTTAGAGACCAGACCTATTTTAAAAAGAGTTAAAGTAGTTTAATAACAGATACCTAGTCCTGTATCCTCTCAGTTTTTATGATGTAACAATTGCATTTTTCTAAATTTCAAAACATTTCTCTGTCCTATTGCTGTAACAAAGCTTCACAAATACAAATGGAGAAGCTGGCTATATGGGGGAAACAATGAAACTGATGATACACAAAGTAATGCCAAATATAAAGAGTAAGCAAGCTGGAAAAATAGAAATATATTTTCTCTAATCGTTTAGTTATAGTAATTTTGGTTACTCATGATAGTAGTGGGGGAGTTTTCAGACAAGTGTGTCTTTTTAAGTTGACAGTATCCCTTTAACGTTAAATATGTTTGTAACTTTTAGCTATGTAATTCAGTATTATTCCTTTCCGTCTAATATGAAATCTGAACTTAGATATGCAGATGTGCATGTGCAGGAGCTGATTATACAAGTTAGTACAGCTGCTAACTCATCTATGCACAATTTAACCCTTTGTATAGATCAGTGGTTCTCAAACTGTGGTTCGGGACCCCAAAGTGGGTCACGACCCTGTTTTAATGGGGTTGCCAGGGCTGCTGTTAGACTTGCTGGGGTCTGGGGCTGAAGCCTGAGCCCCACCACCTGGGGCCTAAGCTGAAGGCTGAGGGCTCCAGCCCTGGGTGGCGGGGATCAGGTTAAAGGGCCCCTGCCAGGGGCTGCAGCCCTTGAACTTCAGCTTACACACACGCACGCACACACACATCCTGCTGCCGCCAGGTCCAGTGGGTTCAGGCTTTGGTCCCTTGAGGTAATTTTTGTTGTCAGCAGGGGGTTGTGGTGCAATGAAGTTTGAGAACCCCTGGTATAGATTATGCGCTATACTCCCATAACAGGCCATAATTCTAGTTGCTAAATGGATTTTTACAAATATTTATATTCAGACTTCAAGGGCATCTTGTTTATACGACAGAATCATAGAAATATAGGGCTGGAAGGGACTTTTAGAGGTCATCAAGTCCAGCCCTCTGCGCTGAGGCAGGACCAAGTAAACCTAGATCATCCCTGAGAGGTATTTGTCCAACCTGTTCTCAAAATCCTTGAATAAAGGTCCTTCCTCAGCCTCCTTTGGAGGCCTATTCCAGACCTTAACTAACCTTATAGTTAGAAAGCTTTTCCTGATATATAACCTAAATTTCTCTTGCTGCATATTAAGCCAAGTCCTTCTCCTCCAATCTTTCATGGGCATGGAGAACGATAGATCACAGTCCTCTTTAAACAAGCCCTTGACATATTTGAAGGCTATCAGGTCCCCACTTTGTTGTCTTTTCTCAAGACTTAACATGCTCTGTTTTTAATCTTTTCTCGTAGATCAGGTTTTCTAAACCTTTTACCATTTCTGTTACTCTCCTCTAGACTCAATTCAGTTTGTCCACATCTTTCCTAAAGTTTCCTAAACACAATTGGATGCTGTACTCCAGCTGAGGCACCAGTGCCGAGTGGAGCGGGACACTTACCTCCCAGATCTTATATACAACACATCTGTTAATATTCACACCAAAATGAAATGAAGCTTTTTCACAGCTGAATCATATATTGTTCATGCATATCCAATTTGTGAACCATGACAACCCCTAGATCTTTTTCACCAGTACTGTGAACTAGCCAGTTATTCCCCATTTTCTAGTTGTGTATTTGATTTTTTTTTCCTTTCTACTTGTAGTAATTTACACTTGTCTTTATTGAATTTCATTTTGTTGATTTCAGAGCAGTTCTCTAATTTGTCAAGGTCATTTTGAATTCTAATCCTGTCCTCCAAAATGCTTATGACCTCTCCCAGTTTGGTGTCTGCATATTTTCTAAATATATTCTCCACTCCGTTGCCCAAATCATTAATGAAAATATTGAATAGTATCTGACACAGGACTGACCCCCTCTGGTACCTCACTAGATATACCCTCCCACGTGGACAGTGAATCATTGAGAACCATAGTAGAACCTCAGTTACAAACTGACCAATCAACCACAAGCCTCATTTGGAACTGGAAGTACATGATCAGGCAGTAAAGACTTTATTAAAAAAAAAAAAAAAAGCAAATACTGTATGGTACAGTGCTGTGTTAAACATAAACTATTAAAAAATGGGAAAGTTTAAAAAAAAAGACTTCATAAGGTAAGGAAACTGTTTCTGTTCTTGTTTCATTTAAATTAAGATGATTAAAAGCAGCATTTTCTTCCGCAGTGAAGTTTCAAAGCTGTATTAAGCCAATGTTCTGTTGTAAATTTTTGAAAGAACAACCATAACGTTTTGTTCAGAGTTACAAACATTTCAGAGTTAAGAACAACCTTTGTCCCCTAGGTGTTTGTACCTCTGAGGTTCTACTGTACTCTTAGAGTATTGTTTTTAAACCAAATGTACATCCACCTTATAACAATTTCATCTAGACCATATTTCCCTAGTACATCGTTAATCTAAAGCAATGTTATTTCATAAGTACCTACTGTCTTGTGTTAAAGCAATTTTACTTACCCAAACTCTTCATGTTATGTTTGCACACAGTAGGGTCAATAATTGCCTATTTTTATTTTGACTTTCTGCCCAATCATTGATGATATTAATTGAAAACTCTACCTGGATTAGCAAAAAAGTTTAATTTCTCCCAAACAACGTAGATGTAATGGGTAAAATGCTGGCCCCAGTGCAGTCAGTGGTGGCTTTCCAATGTGTGCGTATACCATATAATCTACTTTTTCCTTTCAGGTTTATTATATTATGCTGGCCATGGCTATGAAAACTATGGGAACAGTTTCATGGTTCCGATTGATGCCCCAAATCCCTATCGGTCTGCAAACTGTTTGTGTGTGCAGAATATACTCAAACTGATGCAGGAAAAAGAGACTGGGCTCAACGTGTTTTTACTGGATATGTGCAGAAAAAGGTAGGATTTCTAGTCTTGAAATGCTTACTGTAAATTGTAACTGTGGATTAATCAGTTTCCTTTTCATGGGAGGGTGAGGAAGGCTAGGGTGACCACATATCTCATTACTTTCCGACACAAAGTGTGAAACTCTGTCTTATTTTCTTTAGCGTTCACACAGCAACAGCAAATTACAACTGGAGAAGGGGGAGCATACTTTAAAAAACAAACAAAACCAGCTAACCAAATAATCAGCTGCTTCCAGGGAATAGGGAGGAAGCTAGAACCACATGTGGCACTTCATGCTATAAATGTTTTTGTAAGTACTTAGGTGGATGGAGGTTGGAGAGAATTTCTAGCTCCAATGGGTTCTGAGAGATCTTAGAGACTGCTCCAAAAATGTGAAAACATGAAGATGGTAATTCAGCTTATTATGTATTTTTGCATACAAATACAACCTATCCGCTCAACAGGTTAAAGAGAAATGTACTAAAGCATCAAACTAGCTAGATAAAACTGATAAGAGTTTTAAGTCAGCAGAGATTGCTGCTGTCTACTGCGTCATAAGACTGCTGTGGCTGGAAGGTTTTGTGTTAAGAGCCACTTCAATTAATATGTAGAAACCTTTGATGATATGGAACTGTTGCAAAGTCCTTCATTTGTGACATTTTTGAAGACAAATAGATTTTTGTTGACTCCTTGTATACCAGTGTGACTGGATGATGCTTTCTCCTGCCTCCTGAAAAACAGTTTTATATATACAAGTTTAAAAAATGGAAAGGTTTAGCAGATTTATTTTAATTTAAAGAAACTTAGTTGACTTTCTCCACATTTAAAGTAATAATAAACCCTGTACCTAATTCAGCTTCCATTTGAAGTCCTCTCTTCAGTCAGCCCCCAGAGAACTCTTATTAAGGACATAAGAATGGCTGTACAAGGTTATGCCAGTGGTCCATATAGCCCAGTATCCTGTCTTCCAACAGTGGCCAGTGCCAGATGCTTCAGAAAGAATGAACAGAATAGGGCAAATTTTCAATGATGCATTGCCTGTCGTCCAGTCCTAGCTTCTGGTAGTCAAAGGTTTAGGGACACCCAGAGCACGGGGTTGTATCCGTGACCATCTTGGCTAGTAGCTAGAATAGCTAGAACCTATCCTCCATGAACTTATCTAATATTTTTTTCAACCCAGTTATACTTTTGTCCTTTACAACATCCCCCGGCAATGACTAGAATGGCTGCATCTGCATTGCAGGAAGGAGTACTTCATTATGTTGGATTTAAACCTGTTGCCTATTAGTGTCATTGAGTAACCGCTGGTTCTTGTGTTACATGAAGGGGTAAATAACACTTCCTTATTCACTTTCTCCATACCATTCATGATTTTATAGACCTCTAACACATTCCATCCCTTCATCATCTCTTTTCTACTCTGAACAGTCTAATACTTTTTAATATCTCCTCATATGGAAGCTGTTTCATACCCCGATAATTTTTGTTGCCTTACTCTGTACCTCTTTCAATTCTACTATGTCTTTGTTGAGATGGGGTGACCAGAAGTGCACACAGTATTCAAGGTGTGGGTATACCATCTATTTACACAGTGGCAAGATATTTGCTGTCTCATCGATCCCTTTCCTAATTGTTCCGAACATTCTGTTAGCTTTTTTTTTTTTTTTGGATTGACAATGCACATTGAGCGGATGTTTTCAGAGACCTATCCATGATGACTTGGAGATCTTTTTTGAGTGGTAACAGTTCATTTAAATCGCATCATTTCATATGTATAGTTGGGATTATGTTTTCCAATATGCATTACTGTTTATCAACATTGAATTTCATCTGCCTCTTTGCTGCCCAGTCACCCAGTTTTGTGAAACAGTGAGGTGGCAAAGTTTGCTTTGGACTTAACTGTCTTGAGTAATTTTGTATCATCTGCAAACTTTTCCACCTCACTATTTACCCCCGTTTCCAGTTCATTTATGAATATGGTGAACAGCAATAGTCCCAGTATGTATTCTGGGGGGACATAGCTATTTACTTTTCTCCATTGTGAAAAGTGACTCTTTATTCCCACCGTGGGTTAAAAGATAGGAAACAAGTTACCTTTTATCCTGTGACTGCACAGTTTGCTTAAGAGCCTTTGATGAGGAACCTTGTCAAAGGCTTTCAGAAAAAGTCCTGCACCACAGCCACTGGATCACCCTCGTCCACACTTTTGATGACACCCTCAAAGAATTCTAATAGATTGGTAAGGCATGATTTCTCTTTACAAAGGCTGTGTTGATTCTTCCTCAACATATTGGATTTATCTGTGTGTTTGATGATTCTGTTCTTTACTATAGTTTCAACCAATTTGACGGGTACTAAAGTTAGGTTTACTGGCCTGTAACTGCCAGGATCACCTCCAGCCTTTTTCAAAAATTGGTGTTACTTAGCTGTCCTCTAGTCATCTGGTTACATACCATGGTTAGTAGATCTGCAGTTTCACATTTGAGTGCCTTCAGAACTCTTGAGTGAACAATTTCATCTAGTCCTGGTGACTTATTACCAGAGAGATTATTCCTCATGACCACTACAGTGTTTCCAGAGCCTGTGAACTTCATTGCTAATGCAACATTAATAACCCAATTAAACGTCACATTCTACTGGCCGAAACAAAAATGTCTGTAAGAAATATGGCAGATTTTCACATTTCAGCCTTGCTCATGTTGCATTTTGAAAGGAAAACCCATCAAGTTTCCATTAGCCTAAAATGACTGGCAGATTTCAGTGGTTTCAAAGACTTCTGGCTAGGACCGTGGCCAAATTCAACAGCAGTTAATATAAGGTGCCCTCATCTAGTCAATGCATAATATTTGGCTGTCTATTGTTTTCATGAAAATGTTGATGCAGCTAATTCTGTTTACCATCAGTGGATTCATTCTTGATTTAAGAAAGAAAGAAAAATTATCTGTTTTCTATGACATACACTGTAACACTTCCATGATTGGGTTGTCAGATTCACATTCTAAACTTTTGTTTCCGTTTATTATAGAAATGAGTATGATGATACCATTCTGATCTTGGATGCCCTGAAGGTTACAGCTAATATCGTTTTTGGATATGCAACGTAAGGAAACTTCCTCCAACCCCATCAGATTTCAAGGCCAGAAGGGACCACTGTGGTCATTTAGTTGACTTTTTTAAAAAATAGTCCATTCAGTAGTGTAAGAGCACCAGTAACTCATCTCTAATATATGTTCCTACGCTATCCCTGGGCTATTTACATGAATGATTAAAACTGCTCTTAATTCTGTCTTGATATTTTAGAGATGTACTGGCTATGGTCAGGTCTACACTAAAAAGTTAGATTGACCCAAGTGCATCGCTCAGGGGTGTGAAAAATCCACACCCCCTGAGTGACTGTTGTTAAGCCAACCTAAGCCATGGTTGGACGTTGATAGGTCAAAGGACAAATTCTTCTGTCAACCTAGCTATTGTCTCTTGGGGAGGTGGATTAACTACAGAAATGGGAGAACCCTTCCTGTTGCTGTAGTGTGTATCTACACTGAAGTGCTATAGCAGCTCAGGTGCAGCTATAGCATTTTAAGTGTAGACATAGCCTGAGTGTAGACATATCGGATGTACATTTTAATAGGTTTATTTGCTGTTCCACATTCAAATGTGAGCTACTGCCCTCAAAAGCAGTAGATGCTAGAGCTTATCTCCCTAACCTGCTGAATGACTCACCTGCAATTATTTTAATAGTCAACTTCAGGGATGCTCCAGCTCATTTCGAATAAATATTAGTTTGGTATTAAAAACTATGGAGAAATAGAAAATTTTACTCCATATGCCCATAATGATTGAAATATATTTTTGTGACAGATAGCAGTTTCCTACAGTATCCTGAATATGAATTTTATTTAATTGGGTTTAATGCCTGTGGAGTCATTGTATTAAAAATGCAGTTGTTTGAGTTGTAGGATTTTATATAATTTTTCTAGGCACATGACCCATGTAAATGCTAGGAACTTCAAAGAACTGTTTGGGCAACACATGAGAAGTGGGTTTTTTAGGAAGTACAGGGTGACCTTTTGGAACCACGCCCTAGGGGAAAAAACCCACTGTCTACTGTTTGCCTGTTCCTGGAAACTCCAGCTCAAAGACCCCCTCAACTATATGAGGGATGGAATAAACTTTTAATGAGGGTGCTAGTTTTGAGCTAAGGCTGTTATGAACTGGTAACCACAAAAAGAAAAGGAGTACTTGTGGCACCTTAAAGACTAACCAATTTATTTGAGCATAAGCTTTCGTGAGCTACAGCTCACTTCATCGGATGCATAAAGTGGAAAGTACAGTGAGGAGATTTTATATATACACACAGACCATGAAAAAATATACATTGTAAGGAGAGTGATCACTTAAGATGAGCTATTACCAGCAGGAGAGTGGGCACCCTGATAGCAGGATTGTCTGGCTATGTAGACTCCCTCCTCAGGCCCTACGCTACCAGCACTCCTAGCTATCTTCGAGACACCACTGACTTCCTGAGGAAACTACATTCCATCAATGATCTTCCTGAAAACACCATCCTGGCCACTATGGATGTAGAAGCCCTCTACACCAACATTCCACACAAAGATGGACTACAAGCCATCAGGAACACTATCCCCGATAATGTCACAGCTAACCTGGTGGCTGAACTTTGTGACTTTGTCCTCACCCATAACTATTTAACATTTGGGGACAATGTATACCTTCAAATCAGCGGCACTGCTATGGGTACCCGCATGGCCCCACAGTATGCCAACATTTTTATGGCTGACTTAGAACAACGCTTCCTCAGCTCTCGTCCCCTAATGCCCCTACTCTACTTGCACTATATTGATGACATCTTCATCATCTAGACCCATGAAAAAGAAGCCTTTGAGGAATTCCACCATGATTTCAACAATTTCCATCCCACCATCAACCTCAGCCTGGACCAGTCCACACAAGAGATCCATTTCCTGGACACTACAGTGCTAATAAGCGATGGTCACATAAATGCTACCCTATACCGGAAACCTACTGACCGCTATTCCTACCTACATGCCTCCAGCTTTCATCCACACCACACGATCCATTGTCTACAGCCAAGCTCTACGATACAACCGCATTTACTCCAACCCCTCAGACAGAGACAAACACCTACAAGATCTCTATCAAGCATTCTTACAACTACAAAACCCACCTGCTGAAGTGAAGAAACAAATTGACAGAGCCAGAAGAGTACCCAGAAGTCACCTACTACAGGACAGGCCCAACAAAGATAATAATAGAACGCCACTAGCCATCATCTTCAGCCCCCAACTAAAACCTCTCCAACGCATTATCAAGGATCTACAACCTATCCTGAAGGACGACCCATCACTCTCACAAATCTTGGGAGACAGGCCAGTACTTGCCTACAGACAGCCCCGCAACCTGAAGCAAATACTCACCAGCAACCACACGCCACACAACAGAACCACTAACCCAAGAACCTATCCTTGCAACAAAGCCCGTTGCCAACTGTGCCCACATATCTATTCAGGGGACACCATCATAGGGCCTAATCACATCAGCCACACTATCAGAAGCTCATTCACCTGCACATCTACCAATGTGATATATGCCATCATGTGCCAGCAATGCCCCTCTGCCATGTACATTGGTCAAACTGGACAGTCTCTACGTAAAAGAATAAATGGACACAAATCAGATGTCAAGAATTATAACATTCATAAACCAGTCGGAGAATACTTCAATCTCTCTGGTCACTCGATTTCTGATCTCAAAGTGAGTATCCTTCAACAAAAAAACTTGGAAAACGGACTCCAACGAGAGACTGCTGAATTGGAATTAATTTGCAAACTGGATACAATTAACTTAGGCTTGAATAGAGACTGGGAGTGGTTGAGTCATTATACTAAGTGAAACTATTTCCCCTTGTTTATTCCCCCCCTGCCCCCACTGTTACTCAGATGTTCTTGTTAACTCCTGGAAATGTGCTGGAAATGGCCCACCTTGATTTTCACTTCAAAAGGTTTTCTCTCCCCCCATCCCACTCTCCTGCTGGTAATAGCTCATCTTAAGTGATCACTCTCCTTACAATGTATATTTTTTCATGGTCTGTGTGTATATATAAATTCTCCTCACTGTACTTTCCACTTTATGCATCCGATGAAGTGAGCTGTAGCTCACGAAAGCTTATGCTCAGATAAATTGGTTAGTCTCTAAGGTGCCACAAGTACTCCTTTTCTTTTTGCGAATACAGACTAACACGGCTGCTACTCTGAAACCTGTAACCACAAAACAGACCCTTTGGCAAGGTATGGGGGGCTTCAAAGACTCACCTTTCAGAGCTCATATTGGAGACAGTTGGGTGATATCCAGTAAGTTTATTAGCATGCATGTGAGTTCTTTTCTTGTATTGAATGTTTTCTCTAATGATTATACTTAAGAATAAAATAGGCTTGCATAGGAAGTGCTGTGTGGTAACTCGTAATTGTGGCAATTGCGCTGTTCACCGTCTCTGAGGACAAAGACAAAGCAGATGTGCTTAGGCAGTCTGACTTTTCTGGGGAATTCACAGTATAATCCGAGAGCTATGCAATCTGGAAATAGCCTGGTCAGGAGGAAGTGAGATGCACCCAAGAGAGGAGACAGCCAGGGGAGCCTGAAGCTGAGAGTGAGGGCCCTTGCTGGACTATAGAGGGGGAATATAGATGTAGTTGCCCTGAACTATGGCATATGTGTCATTTCTTACTGTAGCCATTTTGGTCCCAGGACATACCAGAGACACGGTGGGCGAGAGAATATCTTTTATTGGACCAGCTTCTGCTGAGCTCTGTAGAGCTCAAAAGCTTGTTTCAGTTAGAGCTCTTACTAGGGCTCTACCAAATTCATGGTCCATTTTGGTCAATTTCACGGTCGTAAGATTTTTAAAATTGTAAATTTCATTATTTCCGGTAATTAAATCTGAAATTTCACTGTGTTGTAATTTTAGGGGTCATGACCCATAAAGAAGTTGTGGGGGTCACAAGGTCATTGTAGGGGGGGTGTTACAGTACTGCTACCCTTACTTTTGCACTGCTGCTGGCGGCAGCCCTGTCTTCAGAGCTGGGCAGCTGGAGAGCGGTGGCTGCTGGCTGGGAGCCCAGCTCTGAAGGCAGAGCCACGGCCAGCAGCAGCACAGAAGTAAGGGTGGCATTGTATGGTATTGCCACCCTTCCTTCTGCACTGCTGCTGGTGGGGCACTGCCTTCAGAGCTGGCTTGCCTCTTTAACAGCCTCCACTCTCCAGCTGCCCGGATCTGAAGGCAGCGCAGAAGTAAGGGTGGCAATACTGCTACCCCCCCCAAAATAACCTTGGTGTCTCCTGTGAAATCTGTGTGTAGTATAGGGTAAAAGCACACAAAAGACGAGATTTCACGGGGGTGTGGACGAGGCCAGATTTCACAGTCTGTGATGCCTTTTTCTTGGCTGTGAGTTGGTAGGGCCCGAGATATTACATTACCCAATCTGTTCCTCACATGGATTCAGAACTTTTTTGTGTTGTATAAACTTACTTTATGAAGATATACATTTCAAGGTAGGTTTCAGAGTAGCTGCCGTGTTAGTCTGTATCCGTAAAAAGAAAAGGAGTACTTGTGGCACCTTAGAGACTAACAAATTTATTAGAGCATAAGCTTTCGTGAGCTACAGCTCACTTCATAAAGCTTATGCTCTAATAAATTTAGCTCACGAAAGCTTATGCTCTAATAAATTTGTTAGTCTCTAAGGTGCCACAAGTACTCCTTTTCTTATTTCAAGGAAGTGGAGCAACAGAAACCCAAAGGAATTGGTGGCTTTACCCATATCACTGCCATCTTAACACAAAGACTACAACTCCAGTGTCTGAGGGGACAGAGAAGTACAAACTGTGTAGTTTAACTTTTACTGAGTGTCAGAACAAATTTAAATTTACATATATGTTTTACAATAAAATAAATGGGTTTCGTTATCTGAGCTACAGCACTTAGACTGGTTGCAAGCTCTTCTTCCTGTGGCTTGCAAAGAACAAAGTTAATTCTGTAATTGCAGTATTTTGAAGTGGTTGTATAAAGTTTAGATTAGCAGTTTCAGGATAGCACCCTACTATTGTGGATTTAATATGGCAAATGCAAAAGCATTCAGCTGGTAAGTGGTCAAGAGTTTTACCAAACTAGGAGGTATTAATGGAATTTGTACTGGCACATTTTTCGGGCACTGCTTTGGGACTGTCCTACAAGATAATTTGTTCAAGGAGCAATAATACTTTAGGTTGATCTTGCCTCATTTCTGTGATTTGGTAGTAAATATGAACGCTTCACAAATTAATTGTTTGTAAAGGTATATTGCATTTCTGTGAAGACCAGATTGACTAGGTTCTAAATACAACTTAGTCTTCATACAGCAGTTCCTTATTTCATGCAGCATTCCTCTCACATTCATACGTCTTGTAAAATATTACTAATTATCATTGTCTCTCTCTTTTTTGCTCTTATATTTATTATTTATTATACTTTAAAGATGCCAAGGAGCAGAAGCTTTTGAAATTCAGCACTCTGGGTTAGCCAATGGGATTTTCATGAAGTTCTTGAAGGAACGCATGTTAGAGGACAAGAAGATTACTGTGCTACTTGATGAAGTTGCAGAAGGTGAAAGCAACCTACATTTTAACTTCCCTTAGCTCCCAGTTTTCCCAAAAAAAAATCCTTTTTTTCTTATCTAAAACTCCTCTTTTACACAGAGCGTTCTTCACTTCCTTCTCTAAATTCTTATTACTGCACTGTGTAAACCCACCATCAAAATGCAGCTACCTCTTGTGTAAAACCTGAAACATCTTAATAAAGACCCCTTTCTGTAAGCTGATATTAGCTCCTGTAGGATGCAGGGTGCTATACGTTCAAATGTACTTTGTTGTATGATGGAATTTGTATTTCATTTGTTGCTTCAAAAGCTTGGTATTGAAGCATGTTTAAGGCTTTCCATACAGGAAAATCTTCAAGTGCATGAAGGAAAAAGCATGTTTAATATCTAATATTTCTGAACGTGGCTAGGGTTTAATATGCAAGAAAAAGTGCTTTCATTTTCACTTATTATTTCAAGTGAGACAGAATTGGCATATATATACACATTTATCTTGGAAGCATTTCAGAAGCACCCCTTACCATAATAGCCCTGCTATTGATGAGCCACTATAATATGGCATTCATACTGCTTATTTGAAATTTTTGTGAGTATGCAACTCTCATGAGAGTTTACAGATGATTATATGGTCACGAAAATCACTCTCCTTTGTCATGTGATCTCTGGATGTGACTGCTAGCCCAATTGACTTGTCTGGAGACAAACTAATTAGGCTTGAATTCTGTGGGTCATATACAGTATTAATACCACATCTGTTGGCATAACCATTATTTACTGACTAGACTACAATGGAGGACCCTATTCATCATTTGTCACTCAGGCAGAACTCCCTGTGTTGTTGATGGGAGTATTGCCTGGGTGAAGAGTGCTGAAGAAAATGTCTTAGTTGAGAGTGAGCATTCTCTCAAAGCATAGAAGAGTAGACAAGAGCATTTACATGATGGATTATATGCACTGATGTCTTTTTTTTTTTTTGTACATAAATTCACTGGCTTTCCATTAAAAATATTGTCCAGGTCTCCCAACAGCTGGAGACTTAAAATCTGTATAATGGGCCACATTCTGCTGTCAATTACACTCAGTCAGGGTACAGGGTTGTAAGTGAAGACAGAATTTGGCTCGGTGTGCATATCTGACAAGGATTCATAAATCAGAAAAGTCCAAACCAGATATCAAATATGCAACCAAATTGGTTTGGTGTTGACAAGACACACTGTAGAAAATGTGTTACAAAAGTTAAAACAATTCAGTTTTAACGTGCCAGCGCTATAGGGAGAAAAAGGAAATTATGATGATTGTGTGACTAGCTGCAGCATAAACACATACAGTGCACATGTACTGCATGATTAACAATTTTGCCACCACCAATTGAGGTATGACTCACCCATTTGACTAGAGTGTGGATCCATGGATGATAGTTACTTTTCAGTTACTACTTCCTTGCCTCTCTTGCATTTTCCCCCCACCTGGCTTATCTTCTGTTTAACTAGATATGAAAATATGGAATGATAGGTCATTGTTTTAATATTTTTATTAAGTTTCATGACAAGCTTTGTACATGTACAGGACTATTATAAGAAAATCTTGACTACTATTCAAGACAAATAAGAGTTTTAGCTATAAATCTTAAAATGATCACAAACTTCAGGATTTCCGCTGTGTGTGAGTTTGTGTGAGGGAATATGTAGGAGTCTTTTCTTAATGTACAGCATTTCACAGCTGACTAGGTGCTATCATAGAGTGTCTTTCCCTAACATCAGAAATTTTATTACTACAGCTTACTAATTTAACACTTACATAGCTACAAATGTGGACACAGTGCACAGAACGAAGATACAGGGTCTGTTTCATCTCTCATGCTGGTTGGAATTTTAAAATAACTATACTGAAGTTAATGGGTTCACACCCATGTAAGTGAGAAGAGAATGAGGCACATCTTTTCTCCTTGAGGGTGTTAAAGTCCAGGTTATGTATGGGTCACGACCCTGTGAAGGATGGGATCAGGTAACGTGATAGAGCTATTAATTATTGTCGGAAACAGCATATTGGACTAGATCAATGGTTCTCAAACTATTATACTGGTGACCCCTTTTACGTAGCAAGCCTCTGATCAGGTATGGCAAATGTTACATTCCAAAGGAAAATACATTGACCACTGTTCAGTAATGTATATATAATGTTTAATCCCAAACTTGAATAGTCCAGATATATGAATTCATGATTTATAAACCTTGATTTTAATTCAAATCACTCTTTAGCTATTGGTCTTAACCTTGTGCACAGCAAAAACCATCTGGAGAAAAAAAAGTGAGCTTAGAGTTGTTTCATTTAAATGTATAGGCCTCCATTCAGCAAAGCACTGAAGAATGTGACTGAATAAGCTTAATGTTAGTCGTGTTCTTCAGTACCTTGCTGCATCAGGGCCATACTGAAGATTTTTTTTTAAATGTGGAGGCATGTAGAAAATAGACGCAGAAAAAATTGTTCTCCTAAGACATCTTGCGTGCTGCATTTCAGCTTTGAGTGAATTTGAATAGCCAATCACTAAACCTCCCTGATAGTGAGTTCATCATTGGAATGCGGTCACAACCATAACCATAATGCCAATGATGTAGCTGCTTTAATTATAATTTCAGCAGCTTTGATTCCTGCAAAACTATTTCCATCTTATCTTTAGATATGGGTAAGTGTCACCTTACCAAAGGCAAGCAGGCTTTGGAGATTCGCAGCAGTTTATCTGAGAAGAGAGCATTAACTGATCCCATTCAGCAAACAGGATCATCTGCAGAGTCCCTGGCACGGAACTTACAGTGGGCCAAAGCTCATGGTACAGTAAACTCTCTTCCAAAAGATCACCCTTTCAAGATGTTAATTTCATTATTAATTCTTTCTCACTTGATATGCGTAAATAATTCAATTGAAAATATATGTGGGCGTAGTGTCTAGTCCTTACTGTTGCTTTTTTCACTGGCTATAATATACCGCGTAGAAATGTACCCAAGGAACAGAATTCAGAGGACTGTTCAGATCTTGGAGGTTTTTGCTTGGGTTTATCTCTGGATGAAATTGTTATGGAAAAATATGGGATGTTAAATTCACTTCATAGGAAGTAACTTCCAGAGCAGCATACCAGACATTATCCCTGACTTATTTTTTTTAAGCAAGAATATTCTTATTTTTTTTCCTGATAGGTTTGAATGTGGTACTGAATTGTCTGTAATGTATTTGAGCAGAAGATTAGTAGTCTAAATTTTTCTTTCCTCTCTAATCCCTTTGCCACTTTTACAAATTTACAGATTGAATAGGTGCTCAAATAAAACTGGGCACCTAACTCCTATTTGTGTCTTTACAGTTTTCTCTCTTATATATCATCCCTGGGTCTTTTTTTTTTTTTTTTAAATCACTGCACAGCATAGAGAAATGTGCTGGTTCTAATATCAGAACCAGAGATTTCAGGTTTTTTCAGTCACTATGCAGATTCCTAGTCAGTCCACTGCATTTTTTCCTTTTTATTTTTGGCCTTGTTCCATGCATAGGAAAATATCCACAAAGCCTTTTGGGCCACCAAAGACTTAGGCCTGGTCTAAACAGTCTTCCCCGCACTTCCCTCCCATCCCCCCGGTACTGACATTACTATTTCAGTTAGGGTTGTTCATTTGTTTGGTTTTTTTAACTGATATATAAATAAAGTTTATTCCCCTTCCTGTGTGCTAAGGATGCCAGTATAACCATGTAAATACTAAGGGGATTGTATTGCTTTTACTATAATGGTGTAGTTGAAGTGATACGACGTTACTGTGTAAACAAGCTAACTTGTCTGGATCAAGCACTTTCAGTATAGAGGCTAAATCGGCATCACTGTGTCACTCAGGTGTGTGACTGATGTCGCTATGCCAACAGCCCCTCCAGTGCAGACACAGCTATATCAATAGAAGACGCTTTTATCAACATGATTTGGGGAGGAAGCATTCCTACACTGACAGAAAAAACCCTTCTGTCAGCCTAAGCTGTATCTGTACTACAAGGCTCTGCCAGTCTAGCTCCACCAGTATTGTGTAATCACATCCTTACTCATGTAAAATGTTCTAGTTGCACCCCATTTGGAAAGGAGCCTGTAAGGTGTGGGTTGAAGAGGTAGCTCACTGGCACAGGGTATGCCATTTACTATTTTCTTCCTACAGCACCTAGCAAATGAGGTCCCTGCCAGATTGTCTTCTAGTCACTACCACAATATAAATGTTTAATGATAGTAATAGGACGGGAGGAGAATGTCCTTTTAGATCGCTAAAACAATGGCAGACGCATGTTAGGCTTTCATGAAAATATTTTAAACCGGTTTATCCAAAATATTTATTTGCAGAACTTCCAGAAAGTATGTATCTTGACTTTAAGTGTGGTGTTCAGATTCAGCTGGGGTTCGCAGCTGAATTTTCCAACGTCATGATCATCTACACAAGGATAGTAAAGAAACCTCCTGAAATACTAGTTTGCAAAGCGTATGTTACAGACTTCCCACTTGTAAGTGTTTCCTATTTGTGTTTCATGATTGCTCTGTATTTACATTAATGGTTGTCTGCTTCTGCTCTTGTGCCAGACTACACCTTCTGGGAAAAAAATTCAAATTTGAATTCTGAACCAAGCAGGATGCATATATAAAACAAATCTTATGATCTTGTTGAAACTCTCTTCTTTCCCTTCCCTTCACATCCTGATTTCTATTACTTGTTACATCTAAATTGGGCCTGATCCTGCAAGGTGCTAAATGCCTGCAGTTCATATTGAAAGGATCAGTCACTTAGGCCACGGTCCTACGAGTCACCTCATACAGGTGCACTTCCACTCTCAGGGATCCCCACTGAAGTCACCATAGCTAGAGAGCAGTGAATTGCAGGATTGGAACCTTAAATTATAAACTCCTTAGGGAAGGAGCCTTGTTTCCTTATTCCTTCCAAGTGCCTAGCATGGTGCTTTCTAAATAGTGATTGAAAAGAGAATTACGTATTTGTGAATTAACATATTAAATAAGTGTCCTCCTCTCCTACAGTGCTGTTACTATAGTAGTATATAGTATATTGTGAAGTGTTCAGCCCACCTGGTATTACAAGAGTATGAAGACAATACACTCTAAGGCCTTGATCTTGCAATAAGAAGTGCATGATCAGAGCCCCATTGAGATAAATGGCTCTGCATGGGCATCGGGTATCTGCCTGTATAGATCCAAAGACCCAATCAGGGCCGTAGCAGGCAAAGTACAGAAGAAAGTGAGGGAGTGGGATGCAGTTGAAAGCCAAGATTCTAAGTAATAAAGTTTAGTGTGCATCTTATTGGGTTCCACATTTTTTTGTTCTGACTCATTTATTTCATTATTTTTACTTCCCTGAGAGGGGCACAAGGGCACCCTGGCATCTTGGAAGAAATAGTGTTTTAATTTGAATTTATCAAAACGTACTAATTGTAGCAGCTTTAGAACAATTGTACTCTGAAAATGACACATTTAAGGGAAACTAATCAATTGTTCTAATGCTACCTTAGTATACTCAAATCTAGAAGAGGAAAGCTCTATTTTTGTATACTATTAGCTATGGTAATGGATAGCAGTCCAGCTGCTTGTGACAGCACCCTGAGTTTTGACCTCTTGGTTTGGAGTGGAACAATTATGACTAGGGAGAGGAGGAGATGAAAAGGGAGGGAAACAAAACTTGCACATTGTTTTTAGTTGTAAAAAATGGGGAAGGAGTCCGCCTGGAGTTGCATTTTAGGAAGACAAGAGATGAAACACAAACTACTCCAACTTGTGACTGATGATGAATTAGGCAGCCTAGGTGACTTTCTCTAATATTCATTGAATCTTGTATGCAGAATCTTTTCGTTAAGAAAAGGAAAAACACTATTTTTTTTAGTTTTAAATTTTAATAAATTGGGTAGAAACAAGTTGTACGTTGAACTCAAATCTTAAGCTACTTCACATAAAATCCAAATGTTCCTTTTTATTTTCCTTTTCACATTGTTCTAACTCGTTTTTTATACCTACAACTTATTTCTCACTTTTTTTTTTTTTTTTTTTTTTGCAACAGGACTTGGATATAGATCCTAAAGAGGCAAATAAAGGGACTCCTGAGGAAACTGGCAGCTATTTAGTATCAAAGGATCTTCCCAAACACTGTCTCTACACTAGACTAAGTTCACTGCAGAAACTAAAGGTGGTTAATACATTTGTTTATACAGTACAGGTTAATCATGCTGCTTCACAACTCCAGTAAAAGAGCTGGATTCTATATGTATATGTATATTTTCAGTAATTGCCCAAAGCATGCTCGCTCATTTAAACATTTATTCTAGGGGCTTAGAAAGCGAATGGCTAAGAGCACACTTCAGTGACTTGGCTCTGTAGCTGGCAGACTGAAAATATGTTCCAAAGAGACAGCCAAAGAATATGAAATCATATTATTTCACAAGTCCCTTTTAAACACAGCTCTGGAAAATGTGCCCTATAGGTTGAGAAGATTGATTGACTTCTCTGGAGGAATCACAGCACCTTGTACATATCATGTTTCCATGTCTATTTGCTCACTAAGCGTGATGCCTTAAAGCAGAGCCATAAGTTGAGGTCATTAGTAAAAAGTGGAAATGTTATAAATAATCTCTTTACAGTCCAGCCTGTGCCCTTGAACCCATCGTGTTTTAAAGCACGCTCACTTTGCATAGTTAAATGTTGCTGTTAAATGACAGGTTTCAGAGTAACAGCCGTCCGATGAAGTGAGCTGTAGCTCACGAAAGCTCATGCTCAAATAAATTGGTTAGTCTCTAAGGTGCCACAAGTACTCCTTTTCTTGTTGCTGTTAAAGGATCAGAAGTGGACTGTAGCATTCTCAGGACTTTAGCATCTCTGCTGCATATGATCTACTGTATCTACTTTCCATACATTGTGCCAGAGGGTACCACGAACACTTCTAGAAATTGCAAAAAATTGGAGTGTTTGTGGAGGTGGGTGGGATGAAGAGTGCCATGCTGACGAGTGCTTTCTTATCCTGCTGCTAGCAGGTTTATAAATCAGGATCACCCATGAGTTAGTGTTACCCTAAAACCCTATATTCATTTAAGCAAGGTGCAAATGGCACCTTCATACTCTTATTTCTTTTGTGGCAGAAAGATGTTGCTGAATTGGGTTACTTAAAATTCAAATGAAATTTGGAGGGGAAGAGAGAAATCATCCCACGACTATATCTGCAGTACTTCTCCCAGTGCTTTTGTAGTTGTTTCATTAACAGAATTTCACCCACAGAGTGACAGGGGAAAGTGTTTCCTGATAAGGAAACAGCTAGTGCTCTGATACATGGTTGAGGGGAAAGGATTTGGGGACAAGAGGTCTCTGGATGTTAAGCTTGAGCTATATTTAAACACAGTATGAAGTTAGTGTGCAAAATTTTGCAATGAGTTTACATCTTTTCAGCCTCTTTGATTTCAGTGAGAGTGTGCTGAATGTAAATCAGTGCAGAATTTGGCCCTGTGAGTGTAGTATACATTTAACTGCAAGGCTTATAGCACTTCAGCAATTATGCTTATTATATGTCTATTTGTTACTGTACTTAAAATGTGTTAATTGCTACCTCAGACAAATAATCACCTTTTAATATTTTTATTTTACTCTGTTTTTGAGGGGAGAAGTAATTTTATTGTCTGTCATTCACAGGAGCACTTGATCTTCACAGTTTGTCTGCATTATGAATATCCAGGAATAGATGATTCCTTGGATGAAAGGAAGGAAGTTAATGTTGGGAAGCCTCTTATTGCTAAATTAGGCATTCATCATGGATTTAAGAAAAATTGTTGCATGTCTAACAGACCTTTCCATACCCAAGCATCCACTCCTGTGGCAACTGAATACTACCTCTCTCCTAATCACTGTCAACCAAATTCCTACCCAGGTGTTCACCATCCAAACTCTGCTCATTTAGATCATTTCAGGCAGCCAGAAGCATGCCATTGCAATGGGACTTTGAATGTGCTAACTTCAAGACAAGAAGCATGGACTTACTCATCCCACATAAGAAAGAATAATATACCAGTAGAGACGACTGATGACACTGTTGACCTGGGATTCAGCTTCTCCAACAGCCTCAGATTATCTAAAAAGCAGTAACTACCATCTCTGCAGAATGTGCAGGAGCATCAATCCTGGGCTAAAGCACTCCAGCGCTGATTGTACATTCTCTGCAGTGTGTTCATGTTTTGAGAGAAGGTGTACTGGGAATTGTGGGTTGGGTATGGGTTAGTACATTTTCTCCTTGGAAACTTCTCAGATCCAAAGAGACAAGAATGGAATATAAACTAATTTTTCACTCCTGAATTGTTTTCAGCAGTGAAGACAGGTGTGGGGTAATCATGGGGAGCTGGTGGCAGGAGAGGTGGGGTGGAGAGAAGCGTGAGCTGGGTACATGGGAACCCCACAGGAGCTAACCAGCAGGCACGCTGTTATTGTCTGCAACTGTGCCAGCCAGAAAAAGAACAGAGCAGCAAGCGTGTAGCATTGAGAGGAAGTTGCATGTTTGTGGTGGGGAGGAGATGCACAGCAGAGGCCTTGTTCTTGTATCACAGGCTCTCTAGGAATACTGAAGTCTTGATCTCCTCAGCTGTTCCTGACATGTCTCTATAATGACACATCCATCTTAAAAGGCTTGCATAATGGACCTGTTTCTAATCTTGATTTTTAGTTTACGAAGGGATCAGTTTTCCTGTGCAAAAACAAAATGGAAAAAATAGCAGTTGGAGAAGAGAGGGAGAGGGAAAGCAGTAAAAGGAATGTCCACATTAATGAAACTAAGCTATATGTGTACTTTATAAATGTAATTAAAATAGCGTAGTAATCACTAAATGATAAATAGATTTTTAGACTTTCCTGTTCTAACCTGCACCATCAGTTGAGTTTAACATTCTGATTTTCTATTTATTTAAAAAATGGGAACTTCCATTTCTTTAAAATGTTTGTGTGCAAGCAGGGCATGTAATACCATTCATAAATTCCAAGAGTAATAGGGTACCATTATGATCATCTTGTCTGACCTCCTTTATAATACAGGACATAGAACTTCCCCAAAATAACTCCTGTTTGAACTAGAATATGTCTTAAAAAAAAATCCATTTGTGATCTTAAATTTGTCTGTGATGGAGAATCTACCTTAGCCTTTGATAAATTGTTTCAGTGGTTAATTGCCGTCACTGTTTAAAATTTTGCACCTTATTTCCAGTCTGAATTTGTCTAGCTTTAACTTCCAAATGTTAGATCTTGTTATAACTGCTAGACTGAAGAGCCCATTATCAAATATCTGTTCCCCAGGTAGATACTTATAGACTGTGATGAAGTAATCCCTTAACCTTCTCTTTGTTAAACAAAACAGATTGATTTCCTTGAGTCTATCACTGTAAGGCTTGTTTTGTAATGCTTTAATCATTCTCATGTTCTTTTGTGAGCCCTCTCCAATTTATCAACATCCTTCTGTGGAACCTTGATGTCCAGTGCTTAGAAGAAATCAACAGATGACTGAAGAGCAATAGGCTCAAGCTCAATGCAGGAAAGACAAAAGCAATGGTGGTAGGAAAGGGGAAAATGTTTTCAAGAATGGGGAAATAAAGTAATATCGCCAATTGTTAAGGACACTGTACCACAAATCATTGAGGTGGAATGAAGCTACAGAATCCTGATGGATGCCTCACTACAGGTTGTTAGTGGTGAGAAACTCCTTCTTGTACCTTTGGATCAAATATTTGGAAGCTCTTCCAAAGTGTTACTGCTTTGTTGCTAACTGACTTCTGAAGAGATGACAATTTTTAAAATAAGCGTTACCCCATTTGTTGTTTTGGAGTAGAGATATGAGGCTAAATTTAAGCCCTAAGTTTGTTTAGCATTAATATAAGCGCACATATAACATAGAGGCCTATACTCAGTCTGGCAAGACCTGGTAAAAGCAGGAGTAATTTGTGCCTGATGTATGATGGCTGGGTGAGGATTTGAGCTAAAATATGTGAATGATGCTCCTGGACACCAGGCTGTGCTCTGGAATCATACACACGCCTGCTATGTTGTTACAAAAATAGCCCTGCACATTCCCCTCCAGGCCAAAATTAGTTCCTTTCTTATTTTCTAAATAAAAACCTTACCCACAAATGTGAAATCCCCAGCTACCTAATGCAAACTCATCCAAGTGATATGAAGGATTAGAATCTCATCCAAGTCAGGTTACAAAAGGTGTGAGATACATATGCAGAGGCACTGTTAGGCACCAATCTTGAAATTTACAGTGCACCAGCGTACCCATATGTAGCTTTGTTGATAGGAATAAGATTCTGTCCTGCTTCAGTGAATTGAAGGATCAGGGCCATAGGTTTCATGCTCATTACTAGAACTAAAGCTGCAGGGATTTACCCTTAATTTGATGTGTGGCTGGAAACTAGTTTCAAAGCAATAGGAGATAGGTTTCTAAAGATGTCACAAAATATATTGGTGCTCTGAAAGTATATTAAATTATGATATCGCTGTTCAAGTGGGTTCTTATCTATGGTCATAAATTAGCCTCATTCCTCTCTAGTCACGTTGCTAACGGGTTGAGTTGCTGTGCATTTCATTTTTTCCTTTCCACAGTAGATGCAATTATGAAATTTCTGCGTTAGTAAAATTTTTGCAGAACTTCACAATAAATGAAAAGGCAGGAAAAAATAAAGGATGAACCATTGCTTAAGAATAAATGCTTATTGGTCTTGAGAAGCTACATTAAAGATTCAATTTAAAATGCTGCACAAGTTTAGGTGGAACACATCCAAGCTTTTCAGATAGGTGGTCATTGAACAAAGATATAGTTTAGAGGGGAGAAGCTAGTCTTGTAATTCTATGGTCCTATTATAAAACAAATTCTGTAATCTGATATTTTGGCTGGAATATTGAGTAGACTACATATGGTAATTCTACATGGTGATGGAAACAATGAATGTCTCTAATCCCACTTGGAAATGGTTAATAGCATTATTGTGTGTAGGTGTTTAATGAAAATCTATAAATTCATCTGTGTTGAAAAATGGCTATTCCCTAGTGTCAGTTATCTCTGTTAATGTATTATTTATTTACTAAATGACAGACAACTTTAACATAAACACAAATGGACTGTAGCTTTTAGTCTTCTCTGGAAGAGTATAAAATAGTGAAACATTTTCAGATTTTTGAAATATACCTGTGCATTTATTATTGAATAAACAGATTTTTACATGAAAATTATAGCTTGAGATACAATCTAGTACAATAGGATACTTAGCTAAAAGTTTGTCATAGTTTTATTATTATTACATTTTTTAATTGTTTTCTACTGTTGCAATAAAATAATTCACAAAAAGATATATACGGTAGCTTGTGTCCCTTTTCTCTTCCTTTCAAACTTCAGTTAAAGACCATACAAATCATAGAAATAGAGATTGAAAAATGGAACTTAAGGTCAAGAATGGCACCTATATCTTCTGGTGACTGTCACAGAAATAGGAAGAGTTCTATTCCTGCATGGCACAGCTCATTGCATGGCCAATTCTGCAAAATTGGCAAGATGTTTTTGGATGTCTGGTTTTGGCCAACTTTAGAGACCAGTTGAGCCTGACTCTCTGAATGAAATTCCCCTTCGCTTCAGCTGGAGTTGTATGTGATCAGTACCTCCTGAAAATCAGGCCCCTGTAGGTATCTCAAGTTGGACACCCAAAACTGGAGGCCCTGTTTGCACACTTAGACTTTATCATCTTTGTACCTCAGTTTCCCCATCTACAATGAGGATGGATAGTTCTTGACCACCTTTCAGGGGTGTCCAGGCTTGCTTCATTGATGCATGTAAAGCTTTTTGACATATTTGAATAAAAGGTGTTAGAGAAGTTCAAATGATTACTTAATAAGACTTATGAAATTGGCGAGAGCCAGACAAGACCCGTGTGTGTGCGTGTGTGTCTGCATACATTTATAGGGTATGACAGTTCATTGAACAGGAAGGGTTTCCAGAGGCAGATCTATCTGAGTGAGCTGGAACTGACCCTGGGCAAGCATCCACAAGTGGAAGATGGAGAATGGAAGGTTGTGATTTTAAATTTGTCTGTGATGGAATATCTACCATAACCTTTGATAAATTATTTCAATAGTTAATTACCCTCACTGTTTAAAAATGTACACCTTTTTCCAGTCTGACTTTGTCTAGCTTTAACTTCTAAATGTTGGACCTTGTTATACCTTATGTGAATTTTGGATTTGCTACTTGCACTTTAGAGGGTGTACCAGTTAGTGGTTAAAAGGTAATGTGACATTATTGACTATGTAACAATTACAACTGTGTACACACTTGAGGAACGCCCACCAGACACTATGCAATCAGCCTGGATGGGCCATTAGGAAGGACAATAAAACTTTGAAGATACTAATCTCCCTCCTTCCTGAGAAGTTTCCTGAGATGCTATTTTGACACTGCAGGTCAGGTGATCACCTGGTACTACACCCTATCTTGGACTTCATGTTTTTCCGTTAAGAGGGGGTGGGGGTCAAACTGGGAAACAAAGGATTCCCACCATATGCAAATCCTATTTAAGGCTGGGGAGTGAGTTAATCTTGGTTATTCTCCATTGGCTCCCTCCCCAAGAATGTAGACTGCTGAAAACAGCTGGAGAAACAAAGGAACTAAGCTGTGGGGGGGCAGGGGCTGAACCCAGGGGAGAAAGATCTATCCTGTAAAAGGAATACCTGATGATTTAAGCTGCAAGCAGTGCAATTTACCTTCCAGAAATTCTGCAACCTGCATAAAACAACATTTAGAATGAGAATTTACTAATATTAACCAGTTAATTTAGTGTAATAAGCTTAGTTTGTGTGTTTTGTTTTAGGTTTCAGAGTAACAGCCGTGTTAGTCTGTATTCGCAAAAAGAAAAGGAGTACTTGTGGCACCTTAGAGACTAACCAATTTAGAAACCATGAAACAATACCTCCTCCCACCCCACTCTCCTGCTGGTAATAGCTTATCTAAAGTGATCACTCTCCTTACAAGGTGTATGATAATCAAGTTGGGCCATTTCCAGCACAAATCCAGGTTTTCTCACCCTCCGCCCCCCCCCCCACACAAACTCACTCTCCTGCTTGTAATAACCCATCCAAAGTGACCACTCTCTTTACAATGCGTATGATAATCAAGGTGGGCCATTTCCAGCACAAATCCAGGTTTTCTCACCCCCCCCCCTTTTGTTTCCAAAAACCACACACACAAACTCACTCTCCTGCTGGTAATAGCTTATCCAAAGTGACCACTCTCCCTAAAATGTGCATGATAATCAAGGTGGGCCATTTCCAGCACAAATCCAAGTTAAGCAGAACATCTGAGGGGGGGGTAGGAAAAAACAAGGGGAAATAGGCTACCTTGCATAATGACTTAGCCACTCCCAGTCTCTATTTAAGCCTAAATTAATAGTATCCAATTTGCAAATGAATTCCAATTCAGCAGTTTCTCGCTGGAGTCTGGATTTGAAGTTTTTTTGTTGTAAGATAGCGACCTTCATGTCTGTAATTGCGTGACCAGAGAGATTGAAGTGTTCTCCGACTGGTTTATGAATGTTATAAGTCTTGACATCTGATTTGTGTCCATTTATTCTTTTGCGTAGAGACTGTCCAGTTTGACCAATGTACATGGCAGAGGGGCATTGCTGGCACATGATGGCATATATCACATTGGTGGATGTGCAGGTGAACGAGCCTCTGATAGTGTGGCTGATGTTATTAGGCCCTATGATGGTGTCCCCTGAATAGATATGTGGGCACAGTTGGCAATGGGCTTTGTTGCAAGGGTAGGTTCCTGAGTTAGTGGTTCTGTTGTGTGGTATGTGGTTGGTGGTGAGTATTTGCTTCAGGTTGGGGGGCTGTCTGTAGGCAAGTACCGGCCTGTCTCCCAAGATTTGTGAGAGTGTTGGGTCATCCTTCAGGATAGGTTGTAGATCCTTAATAATGCGTTGGAGGGGTTTTAGTTGGGGGCTGAAGGTGACGGCTAGTGGCGTTCTGTTATTTTCTTTGTTAGGCCTGTCCTGTAGTAGGTGGCTTCTGGGAACTCTTCTGGCTCTATCAATCTGTTTCTTCACTTCCGCAGGTGGGTATTGTAGTTGTAAGAATGCTTGATAGAGATCTTGTAGGTGTTTGTCTCTGTCTGAGGGGTTGGAGCAAATGCGGTTGTATCGCAGAGCTTGGCTGTAGACGATGGATCGTGTGGTGTGGTCAGGGTGAAAGCTGGAGGCATGTAGGTAGGAATAGCAGTCAGTAGGTTTCCGGTATAGGATGGTGTTTATGTGACCATTGTTTATTAGCACTGTAGTGTCCAGGAAGTGGATCTCTTGTGTGGACTGGACCAGGCTGAGGTTGATGGTGGGATGAAAATTGTTGAAATCATGGTGGAATTCCTCAAGGGCTTCTTTTCCATGGGTCCAGATGATGAAGATGTCATCAATATAGTGCAAGTAGAGTAGGGGCATTCGGGGACGAGAGCTGAGGAAGCGTTGTTCTAAATCAGCCATAAAAATGTTGTCATACTGTGAAGCCATGCGGGTACCCATAGCAGTGCCGCTGATTTGAAGGTATACATTGTCCCCAAATGTAAAATAGTTATGGGTAAGGACAAAGTCACAAAGTTCAGCCACCAGGTTAGCCGTGACATTATCGGGGATAGTGTTCTTGATGGCTTGTAGTCCATCTTTGTGTGGAATGTTGGTGTAGAGGGCTTCTACATCCATAGTGGCCAGAATGGTGTTATCAGGAAGATCACCGATGGATTGTAGTTTCCTCAGGAAGTCAGTGGTGTCTCGAAGGTAGCTGGGAGTGCTGGTAGCGTAGGGCCTGAGGAGGGAGTCTACATAGCCAGACAATCCTGCTGTCAGGGTGCCAATGCCTCAGATGATGGGGCGCCCAGGATTTCCAGGTTTATGGATCTTAGGTAGTAGATAGAATATCCCAGGTCGGGGTTCCAGGGATGTGTCTGTGCAGATTTGATCTTGTGCTTTTTCAGGAAGTTTCTTGAGCAAATGCTGAGTGATCTGCTTTGTTCTATTTGCTGTCCCTTATAGTCACTTAATCTACCTTTTGTAGTTAATAAACTTGTTTTTTCTTTATTCTAAAATCCAGTTTGTGCAATTCATAACTGGGGAGAGGGCAAAAAGCTGTGCATATCTTCCTCCACAGTAAGGGAGGGAGCAAATTTCATGAGCTTACGCTGTATAGATCTCTATACAGTGCAAGACAATATAATTTTGGGTTTACACTCCAGAGGGTGTGTGCACTTGAATGATGATCAATCCCTGAGCAGAGTTTTCTGACAGAGGTGATTGCAGACTGTGTGTGATTCTACAGATGGGTGCACCCCTATCTGTGTGTGTGCATGCCTGGCACAGCAGGACAGGGTGAGGGAGCCCAGGCAGGTGGAATGGGTGGGACCCCAGTATATCAGGTGGCACCCCAGAAGTTGGTCCAACCCATCGCAGGTAGAACTAGTAGTCAAGTTCTGGGTTCTATTCCTAGCTCTCCCTGGGCATTGTATGTCTTTGGACAGGTGAGTTAACCTCCCTGAGCTTCAGTTTCCACATCTGTAAAACAAGGGTCAAAACTAAGGGAGGTGAACAGAAACCTGGAATTTTGACTCAGTGAAAACGTTGGTGGAAAATGTCAGCTTTCCATGGAAATTTTGATTTTTTTCATTCAAAAAACCTGAAAGGTTGTTTTTCAGGTTTTCAACAAAAAGTCTAAATTCTCCACAGGAAATGCCTCATCTTCTAACACTTAACTACATCACGGAAATGTGGTGAGGAAAAGCTGTATATTAGAGCTGGCTGGGAAACTGAATTTTACTTCTGTTTCAAAAAAAACCCTGTGATGTTTTGGAAAGCATTTTGTCCTAAATCAGGACAAAGAGTAAAAACCTCAGGGGGGAGAGGAGTGATATTTCAGAAGTGAAATTCTACAGTATTTTGTTTTAAATATTGAAATGCTCTTGCAGGGGGGATGCTTTTTGTTGTGTCTGAAATAAAATATGCTAGCCCAAGCACCCTGGACCCCGCCCAAGCTCCCCCACCAGAAGAGCTGCTATGGGTGTTGGGGAGGGCAGTGGGCAGGTGGGTGAGCTTGATGGAAACCTGCCAGGAATTCTTCAGAAGGTTAATTTAATTTGACGTGTTCCCGCAGAATGATTTGACTTCAAATGGGCATTATCCAAAAGAAAAATGTTCCATTAGGAAACCTCCGACCAGGTCAAGTACATATTACCATTTATTACATGAGTGCATGTTCAGGGACTCTGTTCAGCCCTTGTTCCTCAGGCAAAACTCCTGTTGGCTTAAATCAGCATTTTGCCTGAATGAAACATGCTATATGTGTCCTTTAATGACACTAAATTACTAGCAGTAGAATATATATTTTTTCAACTTAAGACT